TCCCAAAGCATAATTTATAAGTTATAATCTCATAAGTATCAAGCATACAACTAACTTTAGACGTCTATTGTAAGTCCATTTTTTTATCCTATGAACATATGCTACAAGATCCTTAATATCAACTTTTAATAATATATGTGATACTTATCCAGAAAGTTCTAGAAAGAAAAAAAATTTAGAAATTGAGAACGTTGTCTGAGAAAAAAACTTCTGGTTGTGAGTATACAATAAATATTTTGCATGATATTTTAGTCAATGCAACAATTTATGTCATGAAAAACTCATTTCCTATGATTTACTAGATTGAAGAAACTTCTAGTTCTTCAATATTAATTATTCGCATCATATTATATTTGAGATAATCCAATTGATTTTACAAACGTAATATTTAAGTGTAATTTGCAAACTTCTGGTTTATAATGACTTGTGTTTCAATTGTACTAATATAGGTGTAGTACAAGCCTGAGGAAAAAGCTGATAGCTTTTATGTTATACATTTTCTGTCCAAATTGTTGTGTAATACAAAGATATTCATACACATGCATATGAATACTTTGTCATGTAATTATCGAAAAGTTATCACTTATAAAATTAAACATGTTTAATCATATCACTAAAATTATATCGTCATATAATTAATTTGTTTTACTATTCTTCGGGGATGGATATAAGTTCTTCAGGAACTATGTAAATAATTTTTTTGCTATCTTTCAGGGATGCTTGATAAGTTCTTCAGAAACTGTATAAATATTTTTTTATAAACAATAATCTAAAAAATATAATCATCCTTCTGGGATGTGCTAAAATTATTTGTGTCATTCTTCTGGATTGACAATCTTTTAATGATCATATTACAAATTATAAATTTTTAGATCGAAACAATTAATAAGATGAATTATATTGGTGAGTCAAAAATAAAATAATTACTCCTAGCCAGTGGCATCTAAGTATTTAACTATGACAATTAGGGGAGTAAAAATTTCATTTAATATTGAGAGAAAAAGAAGCTCTAAATAACACAAGGGACGTGATATTTGTGATTTCACCATGTAACACAAGTTTTCTTATAATTATTGGCATGAAAAATATTGAACCATGACACATAAAAATTCAAACAATAATTATGAAAGAAGTGTAAAACATTATCATTAAGATAGTATCTATAGATTTATAATTTAAATTATGCAACAGATGATATTCAAAAAAATTTAAGAAGTTTCAAACAGAGTCAAATGCTAAAAAGTTACAATAATATAAAAATATAGTTATCCATCTCGGATTTGATAGAGTCACCCATGTCTTTCTTCTAGAATGATAACTATTTTATCAATATATTGCAAATTTTTACATGGAAACACAATTTTTTTGTGAAATTCTTACGGGATACTTCACTATTATTGATCAAATCTATGTAAAATTCGATAATAATATTAAGCAATAATTTTTATGATTTTTATCATAACAAATAAAATAATTATGGGATTCATTAATATTATAGGACTTAAGGGAGATGGTATAATTCCCCAAATTTGTTCTACCCTTTTACCAAATCATTTGGCTTATGCATTCCGTTCATATTTCATCTACATACCCTCCATTAGGCCATTTAAATACATCATGCAACATTAGTCATTGACCTGGAATTAAATCAAGGACCTTGGAAATTAGGGTTTTATCTATGACCTGAAGGCTTCTACATTGTACATGTTTGTTTCTATTAAGGATATCATGGACCATGAATTAGGATTAGCCTCTATGTGTTGGTGGTTATCTGACGAACCTCAAGGCTTTAGATTTACATCCTTTATGGGTTATTATCATGGTATCCTATTAACTGGGTCATCCCATTAGGTGTGTCAATTATTTGTTTCTTACAGTATAAGTCACTCAATTGGACTTCATGTGTCCAAATCCAAACGATTGAACCAGCCTTGTTGCATCACTCTCTAGTTACATGCCAGACCAACTTTAACTTATGAGAAAAACCAGTTCATTTTATTACAAGTTGAATAAAAGAAGAACCAACCTACATAATCAAAAACACTTAACCAGTCCATATTAAGCTTGTTGCATCAGACTTATCGAAACATATCAGAACCAGCTCTGAACCATGTTCACAAAACCAATTCCATTACCCTACACAACATAAAACTCGTCAGCCATATTCACCTATATACAGATCAGCATAACAGAAAGGAAAACAAAAAGAGAATAAATTAGAAAAACAGTTAAACGAAAACAAAATTATAACTGTTTCCAACAGAAAAAACCGAAAGACAGGTCAGTATCAATTGAAAAAAATAGAATAACAACCATCTACCAAATTTCTACTTAAAAAAGAATTTTTAATTTTCCCAGCTCAACCCATAACTGTCATAAAAGACAGCTCAAACCTAACTAACAAACTAACTGATTTCTAACAGTTTTTAACCATAACTAACCTCTAACATAATTTCATATATGTCTCTAAAACTCAAGCCAACTTCCTAACTGCTTCTAGGAGAGATACAAAAAAAAGACGGAGAGGATTCACGATTGATTCACACGGTACATCAATTATATTATTCACACAAAATCACGATTATTATTCAGAGCATACAATTATCCATAGAAAATAACAAAGAAATTGACCTTGAATCCCTCCTCTGAGTTCTCTCTAAACTGCAACATAATTATCAACCACATCTCTACATATTCTTCATCTATCATCAACCTTCCAGAATCAACATCTTCAACAACTCTCTGCAAGCTGATTCAATCTTCAATTTGCATCAAGCGCAATTTCACAGCACAACATTTCCTCCAATCACCTTGCACCTTCAACTGGTTTCAACCTACACTATCATTTTCATTTGTAAGATCTTCATAACCGCTTCATTTTTTGTCACAACGCAACAATATCATCATCTTCATTGTTGTTCAACCTTCATCAACATCAACTTCACCCTCCATACTGCACCATCGTGCATCTTTCTCAACCCGACACTTGCAAGGTTCTTCAACAACATCTTTATCTCTATTTTTAGCATCTTCAAATTATCTTCCGTGAGCCATTCTTCATCTACAACAACTTTTCATTGCAAATTTATACTGTAATTGCATCGTAACTACATCACAATATTGTGGATATTAAGAGTCGCCACCGACTTTTCTTTTATCCAATAAAGGAAAGGCTAAAAAGAACAGGAAAGAACTTTTGAGAATTTTCTGAGTAAGGAGGGTAGGTTATGGAAAGTGAAAGTGTTATAACCCTTTTCATCTGTAGTTATCTACGGGCTCTTAATCACTAGCTCACTTTTGAAATGCTTTGTGTTTGTGTATGTTTGAAAATATTTTGAAATTTCCTATGTGCTACAATTTTGTAATGATTCTCGTATTGTTGAGAATGTATAAAAAATGTTTGTTTTGAAAATATTTGTTAAAGAAAGTACTTGTTTTGGAAAGTATGAGGTGAGAAAATTGTTTTTAGTTTGTGAGCAAGCAATTTAAGAGCGATCTAACTACCCAAAAAGTCTTTGTTATTTTCCTGTTCCTTTAGATATTGTTATCCTACCATTAGTTAGTAGGAAGCCCTATCATTTGATGTGAGGGACAAGCGCGGGTCATCATACAGTCATAGAAGGCATCTTGTAGGATGCTTTATCAATTTTTTTAAGGGACTAATATCATTTACTGAAAGAGACATCAAAAGGTCATCGATGGACTACGATCTTTCTAAATCGAGGGTCTTTGCTAAAGTGTCCCCTGTTCGAGGGACATGACTATTTTATCCGAAGACAACAAGCGAGGTTACCCTAGAGGTGCACGTGTGAATAATATTTTGATTTCAGTTAATTTGTCTTGATTAGGATTATCTAGCGGTTTATTTTGAATCTTGCATACACGCCTAATTTCTATACAATGATAAAAAAATGCGGTAAAATACGGAAAATGAAATTCTACGCTATTACAACGCTTTGGGAATGGGGGGTACAAATTTATGAATGAGGATGGCATATGAAATAAACATCTAAGCTATAATTAAATCACACAATACAAGTCCAAACTATTAAATAATTATTTAAGTTAAAACTCTTCTCATTTGATAAAATTAATTAATAATTTATTTAATAGTGTCAAACAAAAATTATTTTAAAGTTAATAATTATTTAAAACATATTGATCCTTTTTTAATTTTAAATTAAATACTAAAACACAAATAAAACTTAATAAAATAAACAATGAAAATATAAGAGAAATGTTAGAAATGGGCCTGTTTTAAACAATTTGGGGGTGCTAAATAGCACGGGAAATCCCGGCCCAAATAAAGGGCAGCACAAGTCCGAAAAATCTAGTACAACCAGATTATGAGGGTGCACCATAGTCTATACACTCTGAGGAGTTAAGTGGTGATGATGGTGATCTGATGGTGAGGATGTTTGTAGATGCATAGTAAGATCCATGGGAAGGCGCGTAGGGAGTACATCTTAACTTATCTCTTCCGGTGGGGACAAGTGGCACTGGAGACACACTTGTCACACACCGATGGCCCCATAATCTCAGCTTATCAACAATGTTATAATTAAGCAGATTTAATTAAAAAAACATGCATCTTCAAAACTAATTCATATTAAATGGTCCTAACCTAAAATATATTAGTGATAAAAAAACAAAACAAAACAAAATCATGTTAGAACCCTTATTGTTTTCCAATGTTGTCTTACCCTCTCAACACTTCCTCTCTTCCTCGCTTTCGCTCATGAATCTCTATTCTCTTCTCTGATCCTCTCTCTTCTCTAACACTAAAGCAAACCCTAAGGGTGGAGGCTAAATATCTGAGACGGTGGTTTCTCAAGAACACGATGGTGGCGGTGCGGTCGTGACTGTCTCTATTTCCAAAAAAAATTACGTTTTTTGATTCATTTTGCTCTTCTGATTACTCATCTGCGGTTGTATTTTACAGAAAATGAACAATTGAGGCTAGGTCTAAAAGGGAATATCGAAACACTAGATGCTCAAATTTAATACATATGAATGATTATGCATGATTCATGGTAATAAGAAGCGAAAATGAAGAGAAAAAAGAAGGAAACTGTTCTGAAATGTCTGAATATGCGGTTTAGTATCAACCTCTTGGAGTTTATGGTAAGATCTTTTTGATTTTGGGCTTGTATATCGGTTCTCTATCTTCTTCTGAACTTGCGGCCTTTGATTTTTCTGAAGGGTTTTTGTGAATAAGTGGAAGATGATGATGATTGAATGTTTTAGGTTTTTTTTTGTTTCTAGAAAATGATGGACGTAAGAGATTATGTGTATCTTCTTTGATTTTCTGAATAAAACTTTCTTCCTTTTTTGATTTCAGTGCAATGGTTGTATTTATACTGATATGAGAATTTAGGGATTTACTTGGTGGACTCAACGATTTTCCTTGACAGACTTTGCTAATTTCTGTATTGGGCTTAAGCAATGTGTTTCTGTTAGTGATTTCTGGAATTTGAATGTGTTTTACTGAACTACTGCAATGATACTTTTAGTTATTAACATGCCTGACCAATTTTTTTGTTTGGGCTTTGTAATATTCCGATCTGTTATTATTGTGGTCTTGGTGAATGAAACTCTTACTGCAGTGTGAATTCTTTGTTGAGCTGTGATATTTTACTATCCTGTTACTATGATGCTTTTCTGAGTTACTGAGTCTTTTTTGTCTCTTTACTATGAACCAAATTTGATTTTGTGATTTGTAGTAAAGAAAAGAGGCCCATGATTAACATTGCACTTCTGATTTTTGTTGTTATGAAAATGTATGAGGATTTTGGTGTGTTTATGAGCATGATTGAATTCAACTCCCTTATTTCTGATTCCTTACACAAAACCCTAATGATGAAGTTGTTGTTAACACCCTGCACTGACTTGCGAATTTCCCTTTTTTATGTTTCTCTTTGAATGAACTAACATATTTTCCCTTCTTGTTTCATGTATTTGGTGTGAGAGAATGGAGATTATATTTGAAGATGAAGGAGAGAAGTCGTGGATAAGCTTGAATATCAATGATAAATTGGGCATGGAGAAAATAATATTTTGAGGAAGACATAAAAGTTTTATAAATTAGGACTTAGGAACCTTTTGTAGAAATTGTAAAACTCCGGACAACTACTTCATTATAAATAAACTTGTAACTTCAATATTTGAAATAGTAATCGTGTCCATTTGAGAAACATGAAAGTCTTGTAATTAATGTTGAACTTTGTACTACAATGTATTCAAACAACACTTGTAAATTTCAAAATTATTTGCAATCAAATGTTTGACTTGTTATATTTGAATGATAGCATGAATTTTGAATGTAACATAGAACTTTGATCAAAGAAGTATTGCATTTGAAATTTGCCTTGTGGAAATATTGTGAAACGTCTGGAATTGAAAGAATTGCAAACAAGTTTAGAATAACTTTGAAATTGTGTACTTCGAATTATAAAATGGAGCCATCTTTGATCATTGAAGCACGGAAAAGGCCTTAGAATTATAGTATTTAAACCAATCTTGTCCTTATGCAATAGCATTTCTTGGTTCCACAATAAAAAGTTTGAAATCTCTCTTCATTTCAAAATATTTGGCAAACAAGTAAGTTTTTTCTTCTTAAGTAGTGAAAGCACACAACAATACTTTCTCTCCAATGAATTGTTCTCTTGAATGAACATCTCAATTATATTAACACAAATGCCTTGAATGATCTTTTAATATGTGTTATATTCGACATAAAGCTCCAACAAATTTTCCATTGATAATTATCAATAAACCCAAACCAAAAGATGAGAAAACCCCGATCTCAAATTCAACTTTGGTTAACTTTCTTCACAAGAAAATAATGTATCATCAAATATTCGCCAAGCTAAACATCTTTTATCATGAATCAAAACTTGACTCAATATAAACTCAAATGTAAACCCTAATATTACGCAACCATTGAACCATGAACCTTGGGTGCTTAAAGCATTTAAAAACCCTAGGAGTATGGAGGGATATTTTTTGAATGAGATGAGAGGGAAAATTTTGGGGTACAATAGTTGTCCCTGTTCAATCTTCTCAAACTTGAAGAGTTAGATTGGTATGTTCGCCATTCGTGACTTAAAGGTATAACATGATTGAAAACTTAAGTGCCCATCAATTTGCACTCGCCTGTTCAAGAATTAATGTTGTTGGTTGATTGTACCGGGAATAAGCTTAAAGATGCCATTGGGAGAGTGATGTAACATTGTCTGAGATGAGCTTATAAATGCCATCCAGAGGTGATGGAGAGTTGTCGGAGATGGGCTTATTGATGCCATCTAGGATAACTGTTGATAAGAGAATAAGACCAAGTCTACGCCCGACTTTGTCTTTAGACGATGTATCAGAATAAATCTACGCTTGGTTTAATCTGAGGCAGAAGATGTCTATGCTTGTCTACAACTAGAAGAAGTATCAGAATAAATCTATGCTCGATTTAATCTGATCCAGAAGTTGTCTACGACCGTCTTAAATTGGAAGAAGTATCAGAAAAAATTTATGTTCGATTTAATCTGAGCCAAAAATTGTCTACGACCATCTTCAATTGGAAGAAGTATCAGAATAAAATATACGCTCGATTTAATCTGAGCCAGAAGCTATCTCTGACAGAAGTGTTCGTCGTGTAGATAGTCGCCCCGTCCTATCCAGGGAATTGATCTACAATCTGTTTTTCTTGGTAAATCCGTCCTATTTCAGAAGTTCATACTACATGGTGATAAAGATAGTCGCCCCTTCCTGTTTCGGGCATTGATCTTCATCTGGACATAAAGAATGAAAGATAGTTTCCCCGTCCTGTTTCGAGAGTTAATCTTCGATCTGTTTTTTGTTGGCAAACCCGTCCTGTTTCGGGAGTTCATACCACTTGGTGATAAAGATAGTCACCCCGTCCTACTTCGGGAATTGACCTTCATCTGACCATAAAGAAAGAAAGATAGTTTCCCCGTCCTATTTAGGGAGTTAATCTTCGATCTGTTTTTTGTTGGTAAACCAGTCCTATTTTGGGATTTCATACCACTTAGTGAAAAAGATAGTCGCCTCGTCCTGTTTCAGGAATTTATCTTCACCTAACCATAAAGAAAGAAAGATAGTTTATGTGTCCTGTTTCGGGAGTTAATCTTTAATCTATTTGAAAATTGTTGATAATATTCGTCTGTTTGTAGACTTTTCTTGAAAAGATAAAGAGTTAATTGTATGAAATATCATGATGCATGAAATTCATTGTGTAATGATGTTCTCAAAATAAAGGAGATTGTGCTATATGCGTTTCGTATGCATATGTCACGACATTTGTAAATTATGGATGATTATGAAATGTCATTGAAATGTAGCTCCGTATAAAATCTCGATGGGGAAAATAAAATCTCTGAATGGTGTTGAGGATGAAGAATATATGTAATCTTCAATATCGTCTGGAATGTTTCCACTAGGGATTCTGGATTTTGTTTGAGGATAATCCGCTGGGGAACGTTGATTTCTTCTTGGGGAGAAGAGCCCGAGAACATTGGTCTTTCATCACTCTACTAGGGAACTAAATTCTTATATACCCTGACTGGGGATAAAAGAGATGGTCAACCTTTGGAGGTGTTGTCTGACCAAGTTTCTGATGTAGACGCGGACTTGACTGGGTATGATAAGATTGAATTATATTTGGTCTGGTTTCAGATTCCATGGCAACACTCTAGGGGTAGCAACCCAAACTGTCCTTTGCTAGAGGTGGGAATCCTGCCGGTGATTGTGGTGGAAATAAATTCAATTTGGGAAGATTAAACTCTTCTTGGGAAGTAAACCCTGTTGGGGAAATAAACCATGTTGGGGAAATAAACTCTGTTGACGAAGAAGTACTTTGTTGAGGAAACACACTTGCTGAGGAAATGAGCTCTGCTGGAGAGAAGAAATATGCAGGGAGTTTTACATTATTAGAGGAATAAACTTAACCGCGGAGGAGAATTTTCGTAAACTGTACTAATTGGGACTCCGTAGGTGGGTGATATTGCTAGGAAAAAGATCATATTTTTTTATCTGCTGGCGGGGAATTTGATGGTAAGTATGATAAGACTACTCTTATAGGGATAATCCCATGGAAGTGGCTCTGTAGGGATTTGTGGGCAGCTCGAACATTATCCCAACTCCTCGAGTCTTGAGTAAATGCTTATTCCTGTTTTTATGCATATATTTGTTAACAGTTAATTGTATTCATATTCATATGCTCATTCAATTTTAGTCATTGGACTTTTTTGCAAACAAAATTGAAAAAGTAAAAACAAAAAGTTTGAGTTTTGAAATTTGTATTTTTATTGATAATTTTGCCCATAAACATGTGATTTTGTACAAAGAGACATAAATCCTAGTAAGAGGAAATTGTCGTGAAATGAAAAGAGTACAAAGTGTAAACATGATAATAGCTATGTGGGAATAATCTTGTCGGGTTCCAACTCTGATATTGCCCCTATGTCTTCAAGCATCTCATCCCTTTGTTGACAGAAGATGTTGATTGAACTGATTTGTACCATTTGAACTTTGACTTTGGCAATAAAGCTTACTGTAAGTGATCCAATGGGGACATAGTTGTTCACTTTAATCCCTAACTTTTTCCTGGACCTTCCTTTCGGGTTTTCAGTCCACCGGGATACCCTTTTTACCCAAGCGGTCTTTTCAAGTTTTCGACTTGTCGGGTGTACAATCTTCATATATATCCCTAATTTTTTCCTGAACCTTTTTGGTATGTCGGGATGCCGTTATTTTTTCCTAGGCCAGTGAACCTAGCGGGTTGTTTTCATGCATAGTATCTTTTGACTATGTTCTCATTTATAGTCTATGGGAAATCTTCATCGTCCATGGTGATAAGTATCATAACACTTCCAGAAAATATCTTCTTGACTATAAATGGTCCTTCGTATGTAGGAATCCATTTCCCCTTGGATCACCTTGCGGTAGAATGATGCGCTTTATTACCAGGTCACCAGCCTGATATACCCGATGCTTGATTTTCTTGTTAAATGCCTTGATCATACGCTTTTGATACATCTGACCGTGACAGACAGCCGCAAGCCTCTTTTCGTCAATCAGATTCACCTGGTCTAGCCTTGTCTAAATCCATTTATCTTCGTTTAAGTCTTCATCTTTCATAATTCTCAGAGAGGGAATCTGAACTTCGACAGGTAGGACAACTTCCATACCATATATCAAAGAGAATGGGGTTGCACCAGTTGATGTTCGAGCTTAGGTGCGATAGCCATGGAGAGAAAATGAAAATATCTTGTGCCAGTCTTTGTAGGTCACAACCATCTTTTGCACGATATTTGTTATGTTCTTATTAAAGGCTTCCACTACACCATTCATATTTGGACGATACGAAGAAGAGTTACGGTTCTTGATCTTAAACTGCGTGCATAGTTCGGTGATCATAGTGTTGTTAAGATTGGTACAATTGTCTGTGATGATTCTCTCGGGGATGCCATACAGACAAATAAGGTTGTGCTTTATGAAATGGGAAACCACATTCTTAATAACAGTGGCGAACAAAGCTGCTTCAACCCATTTTGTAAAGTAATCAATGGCAGCAAGAATGAAGAGATGTCTATTAGAAGCAGTAGGCTTAATTTCTTCGATTATATCAATGCCCCACATTGCGAATGGCCAAGGAGCAGTCATAACATTCAGAGGGATCAGAGGCACGTGAACTTTATCAACGTAGATCTGGCACTTATGATAAGTTCTTGAGTGGTGGTGGCAGTCAGTTTCCATAGTTGACAAATAGTAATCAGCTCTCAAAATCTTTTTAGCCATAGTATGCTAATTGGAGTGAGTACCAAAGACACCTTTGTGCATATCTTTCATAATTTCCTTTTCTTCCTTCTTGTCCATACAACGAAGCCGAGATGAATCATGATTATGCTTGTATAAAATTCCATTGCTCAAGAAGAACTTATCCGAGAACCTCCGTAAGAATTTCTTATCATTGACCGATGCCCCTTTAGGGTATTCTTGAGCCTCAAGGTATCTTTTCACTTCATGAAACCTTGGTTTTTCCTCCACTCCATTAAT